CAATTTCACCATTTCTTCTGGAATCCTCTTCATCCAAGATTTCTGACTTAATCTCAAACTTCCTTGACATCTCATCTCTTTGGGCAACAGAACCCATCACTGCCACCAATGTCTCGCTTTGCCTTTTCCTGAGTATCCCGTATGCTCATTAAAGAGAAGATCAGGGGCGATCAATAATAACTCTTAGAGGTTTTTCTATGAGTGCCGACCTTGTTTGATGGTACCGCAGTTAAAGATGGCTCACATGAAACAATTGCATACACATTTTTAAATCTATTCCAACAAAGATGATACAGAAAACACAAATGTCCATATATGATTTAATGTCACTATGATTGTGTATCTTTGGGAGTCGGCACATCTCTTTGGGAAATATATTCTCTGCTCTTGGAATGGGTTCAGCTCTAGGAGTAACTCTGTTCTAGTAGACTATAGGAGTCACTTCGTCTATATAGGAAGTATCGTATCTGGTCTTGGACAGTGTCTGGGCTCTAGGAGTAAACTCTGCCTTGAGAGTTTCTCGTAACTTCTCTGAGTATTACCAATTCACTCTCTCTCAGAGTAATCTCACTTGGGAGAAATTAGAACTCAAGGAGTATCATGATTCTTAAAGTGTAATCTCAGCTCCAGGAGTCGTCTTATCCCTGCGGGAAATCATGTTTCTGCTCTTGGACTGGGTCCAGGCTCTGGGAGTATCTTCTGCTCCGGGAATTGTCTCGCTACCAGAGTGATCCGTAATCTACCTCTGCTCAAAAGAGAGCTACATCTCTATGAGCAAACTTGTCTCTTGGAAGAGTCGAGGCTCTAGAAGTAACCTCTGCTTTGGAAGTCACTTTGAAAAAGGAGTAACCTGAGCCTCTGCTCTTTGGTGTGGTCCAGTGCATCGATCAACAATATGAGATAAGACAGAGTTATAATCACTCGGAAGAAATCAGTACCACCTGGGAGAAATTTTCTCTCAAAGTGGCCATCACTTCCGGCGAAATGAAAGATGGCTAACCACAAGTTCTATGGGATGAAGAAGGCCAAAGGGCGGACCGCAAACTACGCATGATGGTGTCTAATGAGGACCCACCCTCAATCTCGTTCCTAACGAGGTCTTGTCTCTTCAAGATCTTGTGTTACTCTGATTCACATGATCAGTTTCTCACACCCAAGTTCAGACACCCATTATTGATGAAAATTTATTCAGCCAGGAAAAGAAGATTAAGGCATCTGATTGGCTGGTGGCCAGTTACTTGATAGCTGATTATTTGAAACTGTCTGCCGAGCCAGTGAACATCAGTATGTCTATGTGTCATTATGCATATACACTTCTCTTTACTAAAGATATTCTGAACTACAGGGAACAAAATATGAAATGAAGTCAAAATGACATCAACTGAAACTACCTATAATTGACATAGTATTGCCCAAAACTGACCATTTTAGTCCATAACCTAACTTTGCCAAGTGGTTGATTGGTTAACATTTTAACGTCATGGCTCCCCCTAGCTATGCCTAGTGAATTAGTGAAAGTAAATGGCTGCCATAATACCGACAAAAATACATAATTTTTGTAAATGTTTTACCGTTGCTAGGTGTATCTGGTCAACGTGGACCTAGTTAACTCAGACCCTAGTTAAAGGTATTCTGGGAGATACAAGTGACAAAATATTGCTTCTGGAACGAGATCAAATGACTTTGACATATTCTTTACCCTACCTATGTTGCAATTTAACAATCAACGCAAGTATATATACCATATTTAAGCACATACCGGACACATTCATAAAGATATTTTTTGATTGATCAAATCGATTATTCAGATTTTGCCTTGGATTTGATTTTAAATGCTTCTAAATGATTTTCTAATGCTTACTATGATTTCTATTCTATTTTTATTTCGATGAGCATTTAATCAGGGTGTTGGAGTTAACAAAATATAGAGGTACTACATTAATTCCAATATGCAGTATGAAGAAATATATCAGTACATTTTTGTTTTAAGGTACAGCTTGAAAATAACATTTATTGTTTGTAATACATTTTGGGTATATTATTAAAGCTTAATAATATTTCTATTGGTGACTACATTTTAGGCATATTTAATCCTATTTGATTTCACAATTAGAATGTATGAATTACGATTGACTCTTGCAATTATATATGATCACTTTTGCTTTTATATATTAATTTTCACTTTAACACTCAAAATATCGAAAAAAAGATTCAGAAATACATTGGTACTAGTTGACTAGGGCCTGAGTTGACTAGGGTCAGAGTTAACTAGGGTCTGAGTTGACTAGAAACCGTTGCTATGTGTTTGCTAGGCATATGTTATGACTACACAATGCGTAAATATATAAGGGTTATGTACTGGGAGGTTTTGGATATGGGGTTAATCCAGAGGGAGATATGCGTATCTACCTGAGGGACTGTAGGGACCAAAGGTAGATGTGCATATCTCACGAGGGATGAACCCAATATCCAAACCGATCGTACATAACTGCTTTATCCTATATCAAGTTGAGTCTTTCTCACCTTAACTTTTTTATTTTGAAAGTTATCATATTTTCCAATATATCATTTTAAAGGTTATGTAAAATGCTGATCACCCTTAGAATATCAAAAATGAACTCTTCCTAAATTGCTACAATGTTTCTTGTAAGGTTGCAGTTGACCATTGATTACGTCAAAAGAAGTTAGATTACCAGGATAGTGAATGGACGGTGAAAAGTTGATACTGCAATTATGGAGGACAGTGACGAAAGATTAATTGAAAACTAACAAGAGGAGAAGCTTTATAGCCATGAAACATTGCTCAAATGTATCAAAAGGCTCCCAGAAGCCTAGAAAGTGCAACACTCCTGTTTGTGAACATTTTGGAAGAGTATCCTCGTAGAATTGAGACTGCCTGAGCTGCTTGGGGGAAACAAACGAACTATAAAAAATGTGAAATATGGACATCACTAAAAATGCTCTGAAAATTTGTAATGTAACATATCATTCGGAAAATTG